GGTTCTGACTTTTTAGGAAATGTAAAGTGGACATCACATGGTGAAGTGTATGAGAAATATCGTCCGGCCTCTTAAACGATCTAATGAATTTTTATAACTGCATGAATATTCCAGTTTTAATTTTATATTTATGGTATAGTAATAAAAAAGTTTTACGATAACGTATATTCTGACTTGTTTTTATGGTGAAGTACCTTCTGGATAGTGTTTTTTGCAAAAATATAACCATGACCTGGACAACTTCGCCATTTCTACCGTTTTCCTGTGAACTCTGATTATTTTGTTTATTTTTGTTCTAAGAACTTTCTATTTCGTATTTAATATCTCCAAAACTGTCTACTAAATTTTCCATAATTGCAAGTGAATTTTTTTATAGATTAGTAATTGGAATTAACTAGTTTCATAGTAGATTTTATGATTTATTATAGAGAAATATTTTCAAAAATTATGAGAATACTACAATTTAAAGGGTGATCTCAGTGGTGTGTTCAATTTTTTAATTAAGCATAACTTAATCACTGTATCGTACATTTAAAACGTTTCTTTAGAATCTAATATAGATTACAGCACACCGAAGTGGAACACACTTTCCCAATACTAGTTTTTAATCTTTACGAGCTAAATCATCCGACAACAATCTAAACATATGTTCACATAATTCCCATAGAGATAAGGCAGGCACTCATTCGTCATTGACATGTGATAAGAAAATTGGAAATATTCCACATTCTATTTCAATATCTTGACCACTATCGATGTGGGAGCTTCTAGTCACCGTAATAATAAAAAAATATTTCTTTTTTATTTGTGTGCAAATGGAATAGTTCTTATATTTAACGAAAACACTATAATTCTCTTGTTAATAATATTGGGAAGTATCCACTATCTGCTTGTCCTCAATGCAGGGTGCCACATCAAATTTAAGGGGTCATATTTTACTATACCACTTTTGTCTAGTTTTAATTTAAATTTTCATGCACTGCTCGCTGGGCAACACGTGATTTGGTTATCAGTTTATTTATTTAATAATTTGGCAGTTGTCAAGTAAAAAAAAAAACGAATACATTGTTGGGGATCGTATTGAAATAATTTTTATTTTATATTAGGCACGCAAGGCAATCAGTTGACCTGCTAGACATTGCTTATGGCAAACGAAATAAAAAATCTATTAATAGTTGAAATTTTTAAGTGAGAATTTGTGGATTTAAAAAAAAAATACATGGGCTGATTGAAGCAATTTACTGCATCGCATTATTACATAAACAAGTAAAGAATTGTCAGTCGGTGTTGCCGATATATACCAATAGCCTATGATTTGCGGAGGTCTATGGAATTACTGTCTAGTGTTAATGAGGGTATACATATTTTGCTATGGAAAAATCTGTCTTGTCATAATATTGGTTTTAGAGACACTTTAATTTATATTATCATACGAACGATTTTAGAATCAGTTAGCACAACCTAATTTTTTAACCAAGACTCCTTCTAGTACCTCCTCCACAAAGCGTCAATATTTCGAAAATTTGTAAAAACCAATGGAATATCCAGTTTCATTCAAATTTTGCATATCATAATATTTTTACCAAACCTACATAAAGTCCAAAGATGGGAACCATCGGTCCACTTCGTCGGGTACCTCCGAAGAAAATTACAAAATTTTGAAAATTTGTTAATTCAATATCAAGCTAATGGAATGTCCATTGTAAAGTTCTACAAAACCTACATTAAATGCGAAACAGGGGTTCTTAGGGCAACGTTTGCTGGTATTTGTCCACAGATAGCCAACTCTTTGATCTTGTAAGGTCTAAACATGGCAGACCTTAATATTTATACTAAATGTAGAGTTAGTGTAATTATCGGCTATATATGTCTACCAACTCTGGTGCCTTCTCCCAAGCTGTCAAAATTTTGAAAAATATGAAATTAATTTAAACCAGTAAGGGAGGTTGTAAAGTCGGATAATTGTACGAATTGGCCATATTTGGGGGGGTTTGGTGCACCATTTACTGAAAATCGGACAAAACTACATATATGAGCTATATCTAAATCTGAACCGATTAAAAAAAACTTTGCACACTATACTAACTTGAGAACATTGTGCAAAATTTTGTGCGAATCCGCCATATATTGGGACTTTTACTGAAAATCGGGCAAAAATATATTTGGGATCTATATTTCAATCTGAACCGATTTCAACTGAGCAAAATTTTGTGAAAATCGGCCATATTTTGGGGCTTTTTGTGCACTATTTTCTGAATATCGGACAAAACTACATTTGGGAGCTATATCTAAATCTGAACCGATTTCAGAGAAACTCACCACACTATGGGTAATACTAATTTCAGTACGTTGTGCTAAATTTTATTGGAATCGCCCATGTATTGGGTCTTTGGTGTACCATTTACTGAAAATCGGACTAAACTACATATGTGAGCTGTATCTAAATCTGTAGCGATTTTCCCCATTTCGTCCTTGAGGCAAATAAATTACCTGTGGTAAATTTCATCCAATTTGGATTATAAATGCGACCTGTTCTTCGTTGACAATTTAACATGGACAGACAGACGACAAACGGACAGACGGACATGCATAAATCGAATCAGAAAGTGATTCTATGTATATTCTCAAAAGGAACCATGGGTCTAATACCCAATAACCAGTGTGGTGAAGGGTATACAAATGTTCCAATATATATATATACCCTCATTACCCATAAGGCTAATGGTAGATATTTTAATATATTCGACATATAAAGAACTCGCCTCTTTGCAAGACTTTTATGGTTCCAGGCGATTTATTTCCAGGCGATTTATTTCGGTTTATAGAGGTTAATCCTCTTGGTGAGAAACATCTGGACAGAAATTTTTTATATATAGACCTAGCCTTTGATAGGGTTTCCACTTAATTTAAGGTATTTTCTATAGCTCTAACCCTATTTCCCAAGCGATATAGCAACAAGATTGATGTTCGTTGTTTCAGAATATCACTTTTCCGAACATTTCCTATATTAGTGGTTAACATACTTCGGGGAAGAAAATTTAATATATATATATATATATATATATATATATATATATATTATATATATATATATATATATACATATCCATCCATAGGTCCATTTTTTGACATAGAATTATATTTTGATGATCCCAGTCTCAATTTCCAGTCCCAATTTCCAATTTCAATATATGTTCGTATATTTTTAGTTATAGATTTCATATAATTGTCCCGACATATTTTAAATATGTTGATGATCCTATACATATTTCCCAACCGATGTATGATAAGTATTGACCTATCATACATATGAAGGCCGGCTCAATTTTTGGTATTTGAATTTGGTTTGCATTCATATTTCTTCCAAATAGTTGATTTTTTTTACCCTTCATCATAGAGTTTAGTGTATATTGAATTTGTCATTTCATTTGCAATACCTAGAAATAATCGTCGGAGATCCATCAGCATAAAATTCTATACCGATTTAGCGTCTGTTGAAATCAAATTCCCAAATGAGACTATATTTTGGAGTTTCAAGCCTCATTAACAACAATTATAAAAAATTAGCCTCTGCTTTGATATAGCTCCATATAACCACACTATTCGGTATTTTTAGGATTTCAAACACCTCTGCGCCATTTACAGTATGTTCACTGTATTTAGCACAACCTGATTGTCTGTAGTTTGGCATTTGGTTTTTACTTGTTTTATTGCAAAGAAATCCACTTAATATGCTTTTTGTTTGATGACTTATGCATGCCTCAATTCTTAGTTGATCCGAGAAGCCAAGAGATGTATTTAAGTACCAAAAAATCCGATCACATTTTAAATTATGTATAGTATTTCATTATTGACCAAATGGCAACTCTCTTCTACATACCTCTTTATTTTCAGTTCGATATATTGTTTCAAAGCTTAGCTTGAATTTCAGAAGTTTTTTTAACTCTTGGTTAAACTTTAGGCTTCAAATGTATTCCCCGTTTATCTAAAAGCTTTCAAAGCTTTAAATATCAACATATCTTGAATTTCCCCTCACACTATTTTTATTATCCAATAAAGCCCACACTGTAACGGATAAACTTATTACGTATTCAATAATATATCGATGAATAGAGAGGGAGAGAGACTCTATCCATGGAGTTCTCTGTTGGGGATATTTAAATGGGAGAAACTGCTAAAGTAGCTTCTCTGTTGGAGAAACCAAACTGAAACTGTAAATACAATTGGTAAATTAAAAAAAAAAACACACACATCTCTCCATATCAAAAAAAAAACTAATAAATTAATTAAATCAATAAATTATTGCTTGTGTTTGTTTTCTTTTTGTATTAAAGTCTCCACTTTTTGTTGTGGGGAGGGTGATTAGAGCGAAACAACTCACAAACAAATGAGAACCGCCAACTGTCATATAGATTCCAAAATAAACAGCACAACTTGACAAACTGTTGAATAAGGTGATGTTGGCCCCTCCACTGTTTCTCAGCTCCCCCCTAATTGTGGTGGGGCCGGCATGTGTGGCTCTCTCTCGCTAGTTTGTAGTTGTTGTGAACTACTTGTGCTGGAATAGTTGTTGTTGTTGTGGTTACTTTCCATCAAGAATTTGTGTGTGCGAGTGTGTCGTGCTGTGGGGGGCCTGCGGCATTGTGTTTGACATTTTGTGTGTTTGTGCAGGGAAGGGGGGTGAAAACTTGATTTCTCTCCACACAGTTGATTTGCTGGATGTGCGTGCTTCGCTATCCCCATAACAGCAGAGTGAAAGAACGAACAGTGATCATTTGCAGTTTGCTGATTCTAGTTCGTGGTTAGAGAACGCTCAGGTTGGTAGTTTTGCTGTGCGGTGGCGTATTTTTTTATCTTTCTCTAATTTAATTATTTTTTTTTTCATTTTTTTTTATTACATAATTCATTGGGGTGCTACGTTGGCTTGATACGTGTTCGGCATAATATTGGAACTTGTTTTCTTTTGGATGATATTGGATTTGTCTGGAATAGATTTTGTTTAAAGAAAAATGGCCTTACGTTATATCTGCATTTCCCCTGCCTTCAACAGCATGGGCCAAACCTTTGTCCGTGCCATGTCCTCCCAAAGTGGTGGCAAGAACATTGGCTTCATCGGTTTGGGCAACATGGGCGGTCACATGGCCACGAACTTGATGAAGAAGGGTCACAAATTGCATGTCTTCGACATCTCCAAGCCTGCCTGTGAAAACATGAAGGCCAAGGGTGCCCAAGTTTACGACAACACCTCCGAGTTGGCCCTGAAATCTGACTTTGTCATCACCATGTTGCCCAACAACGACATTGTGTCCAAGTCTTATGAGGAAATGACCGCCAACGGTGTTAACAAGGATACCATCTTCATCGACTCCTCCACCATCGACCCCAACTTGGTCAAGCAATTGCAAAAGATGATCAGCAGCAAGGGTGCCCGTTTCATCGATGCCCCCGTCTCCGGTGGTGTTCCCGGTGCCGAACAGGCCACTTTGACCTTCATGGTTGGTGGTACCACCGAAGAATACAATGCCGTCAAATCCGTCTTGGAATGCATGGGCAAGCGCATCACCCACTGCGGTGACTACGGTATGGGTCAAGCCGCCAAATTGTGCAACAACATGATGTTGGGTATCTCCATGATCGGTGTTGCCGAAGCCATGAACTTGGCCATCCGCCAAGGCTTGAACCCCCAAACCTTCGCTGAAATCATCAACTCCTCCACTGGTCGCTGCTGGGCTTCCGAGGTCTACAACCCCGTTCCCGGTGTTACCCCCACTGCCCCCGCCAACAATGACTACAAGGGTGGTTTTTCCACTGACTTGATCACCAAGGATTTGGGTTTGGCCTCCGGTGTTGCCACCTCCTCCAACACCCCCATCCCATTGGGCGCCATGGCTCACCAAATCTACCGTACCTTGAAGGCTCACGGTTTGGGCAGCAAAGATTTCTCTGTTGTCTATGACTTCATGAAGAACACCAAGTACAATTAAGTTTGTTTTTAAGATTATCTAATATATTTTTGTGAGAGAACCCAGTGCGTGCTTCCATTGTGGTGACAACAAGAACAGCCATCCCAAGTAACCAGAAGTGCATTTATAGCCATTTAAGATTAAATACAATTTTTTCTGAGTGTATTATATAAAAAAGTAATAATAATAAAGAAAGAGATTTTATCTATAGAAAAATAATATTTTGTGTTATGGAGGTGTGTTGCGTGGTGTGCTTATCTTAATTCAAGTCTCATGATTAGATGAAGAAAAAAATTGACTATTTGACGTGGTTATGAAAATTGTATACGTAATCATTATCATAATTGAAAAAATTAGATAAGTGAAGTGGCATTTTAAGAGATTAGTTGGTATATAATCCAATATGTTATCTTCAAAATTTAAATTGATGTAACCAAGATACAATTTATTTACAAAATGTTGTATTTTTCCTCCTTTGTGATTTTGTGGTTTAGTCTTATGTAATTGGAAAAGTCTACTTCGGCAGAAATGCACGTAAATTTTGATTTCTTCAATACAATGCAATATTTGGAATAATCAGACGTTCGATATTAAAAATTTTTTTTTTTAATTAATTAAAAACATTGAGCTTTTTTATAATTTGAAAAAAGTTGTCGTATGCCAATTTAAAATGCTAAATATATCACAGTTTATGTGAGTGAGTATATGTGAGAAACTAAAAGAGGTTATTCAACCAATTTCGTTTAATAGAGGTTTGCATACTTTTGATATATTTACACGAGTTATGAAGATTTTTTCAAAATTTTAGAAAGCGGTATTTTGAAAAACTGGACAACGGGAAGATATCTTAAAAATAAGTAAAAAAAACATGTTTATAACTTCTACAATAGAGAATGATTTCTGCAAGGAGGTTTGTGGTTATCTGATAAACCTAAATATTGGCTGGAAAATCCCTCTAGGACCTAGAATGGACGGGACGAATCTACAGCTATGCGATTTTTTATTCTTTGAGAAAGAATGCTTAAATGCTGAATCATAACTGAGAACATCGACTCCATAAAATGTTTTTGCAATAACTATTTTAGCCTCCAACAAGTGAAAAAGTGTCAGTCGGTGATGCCGACAGATATATACCCTCAGCCTATGCGGAGATCTTTGAAATTACACACAGGTTTTATTACCCGCTTTTTATAAGGTATATGAGAGGTTTCAGATTTAATGCAATAGGCTTCAAATTCAATTTACAAGTTTATAAAATATTGACTCTTTTAGGTCGGAGGTACCAGAAGAAAGCTTCCGACGGATCCTACCTTCGTGCTTGGTAAATATAATAGGTTGTACATAGTTTGGATCAAATCGGACATTCCATTCTGACGATATTGGATTTATAAATATTGAAAAGTTTGACCCTTTGTGGGGGAGTTACCATAAGGAGTGAACCAATGGATCCCACTTTCGGACTTTTTCTAAGCTTGGTAAAGATAATAGGGTGTGCAAAGTTTAGTTCAAATCGGACATTACATTCGTCTAATATTGAATTTATATACATTGAAAAAGTTGACTCTTTGTTGGTGAGGCACCAAATGGTGTGGACCAATAAGTCCATATTCTGACCTAATTTTTGAAAATTTCGAACATTTGTGGGGAATTGCAAGATAGAAAGGGCATTCGGAATTGATCTAGGCTTGTAAAAGATAATAGGTTGTGCTAAGTTTGATCCAAATCGGAAATTCCTTCTACCTAATATAGAATTTATAAATATTGAAAATGTTGATCCTTTGTGGGGGTAGTACAAGGAGGAGTGGACTCATTTTCGGACTTGATCTAGGATTGGTTCGTACGTTCCCATTTTATTATAAAATTAACTATTTGCACAATTTGGACCATTTTGTGGGGGGGCTACCAGAAGAGGTGGACCGATACTCCCCATCATCGAACTTGAACAAAGTTTAGAAGAAATATTACGATGTGCAAATTTTGGATGAAATCAGTTACTCACGGTTACTCCTGAAACTGAAACTGACAACTCCAAATTGTCTAAAAGCAATATTTCCTCTCCAAGGTTGAAACTTCAAAATGACTGAAATAGGTTGGGACCTTCATATGCTTTTTTGCCCTCTAAAAGTTGAAATGCCAACTTATATATACTTCGGTTAAAAAGTAGAGCTATTATCATCAATATATCAAAAATGTGGCGCGATATTTACATGGATAACAAAAGGTGTTTTTTTTATCCTCCAAGAACCTAGAATGCCAAATTATAACGACTTCCGCTGGGAAAGGCGTTTTGGACCATCAAAAAACCTTAAACGGGACGGAGAAGTTTTTAAGCCTATGCCAAAACACTGACGGGTGGAACCATATAAACATAAAACATGTCGAAATGTATATATAGGAGTGTACAAATATTAACCATATTTTGGAGTTGTTCTCCTTCGGCTAGTAAATGTGATTATGGGCATTAAAATATAAGAAATGGGATCGGGAACTTTATATGGTGAATATATCAAAACATGGACCTATTATGTAAATTGTCTGGCCGAAGTTTTTTATCTTCTGAGAAAAATCGACTTTAATTATCAAAATACCTAAATAAGGAAACAGAATCTTCATATAACAACTATACCTAAACATGGATCGATATACCCGATTCTCAACACCAAACATCCTAGTAATCTAAAGTCAATAGTTTTAAATTCCATATCAATCTAATGTATTATACAATATTTTCTAAGTCGTTTATTTTGAAAGTGGTTTAAGTCAATTTTTTTCTTTAATATACATATGTAAAGTTTTGGGTTTGATTTATTTGAAAAATATAGTCAAGTGGTATTATCTTGGTTTGTGGTTTTGTTCCCATAAACATGAACGAATATATAACGTATAATGTTTTGTAAACTTTTTTAGAAAACCAAAATTTGTATCAAAACCTAAAATAGACTTATATGACGACTTTAACAAAACCTGAACCTATTTTCAATACCATACAGATCGATATGATCTAAATTTTGCACACTTAGACCAATTCTGGTTTTCGTTACTTTCCTCCTGGTATTTCAACAATAAGGATCACAATTTTAAAATATAATATAATGCTGCTGAAGTAACCAATTGGATTCAAACATTACACATCGTACGCATGTACCTATTAATATCAACATAATTTTAACACCCGCATTTGCAAACATTTTCGAAATCTAGTGAAAAGAAGACCTTCACCGTGAACTGGTTATTTATTTATGCTCACATTTCATATTTACTATTTAGATGACTATTGTTTTTGTGGCTGTAGCTTTTTTCTTTCATTGTTTAAAAATTTCCACTGCGTAGATAGTACACGCATAGAACAACAATAACGTTTCTTTCCCCTCTATCCAACCACACCGAAAATATCTATAGAACATTCAAATCTAATTGTTCTGAACTTTCTATGCGTATGTATGTCATCCATCAAACACACAACACATGCCGTTTTCTGGATATGGGAGCATGTAAAACAAAATACTTGGATACAAGTTCAACTAGAGACAAAACAAGAGCTTTTTACAGTTTTGTTATTACTAGTTTGGATTTTCGATATTGTGCTTTGTTGATAAAATACAGGGTGCCTCGTAATTCTTTATTTTCGTAAATATAGGAAAAATTGGGCTTCTATAGCCTAAAAAAGGCTTTTTAATGTTCTATCGCCAAAAAACGGCATTTTAAGGCCTTTTAAGGCTTCTATCGCCTAAATAAGGCATTTTAATTTTCTATCGCCTAAAAACGGCATTTTAAGGTCTTTAAAGGATAGACAGTTTAGTTTTCTATCGCCTAAAAAAGGCATTTTATTTTTTTGTGGTCTAAAAAGGCATTTTAATGCCTGTAAAGGCTTCTATTGCCTAAAGGCATTTTAAGGCCTTTAAAGGCTTCTAACGCCTAAAGGCATTTTAAGGCCTTTAAAGGCTTCTAACGCCTAAAGGCATTTTAATTTTCTATCGCCTAACAAGCGCATTTTAAGGCCTTTAAAGGCTTCTATCGCCTAAAAAAGCATTTTAATTTTCTATCGACTAAAAACGCATTTTAAGGCTTTAAAAGGCTTCTATCGCCTAAAAAAGGCATTTTAAGGCCCTTAAAGGCTTCTATCGCCTAAAAAGGGATTTTAATTTTCTGTGGTCTAAAAAGACATTTTAAGGCCTTTAAACGCTTCTAACGCCTAAAAAGGCATTTTAATTTTCTATCGACTAAAAACGCATTTTAAGGCTTTAAAAGGCTTCTATCTCCTAAAAAAGGCATTTTAAGGCCTTTAAACGCTTCTAACGCCTAAAAAACACATTTAAATTTTCTGTGGTCTAAAAAGGCATTTTAAGGCCTTTAAACGCTTCTAACGCCTAAAAAACGCATTTTAATTTTCTGTGGGCTTAAAAGGCCTTTAAACGCTTCTAACGCCTAAACCATGCATGTTAATTTCTGTGGTATAAAAAAGCTTAAGGCTTAATCCAGATTAAGGTCATTGACTCCGGATTAATCCGGGGTCAGTGACCCTTCAACAGGGGTCAAGGACCTTTATCCGGATTAAGTCATTGACCCCGGATTAAGGTTTAATCCGGATTAAGTCATTGACCCCGGATTAAAGGTCATTGACCCCGGATTAGAGGACATTGAACCCGTATTAGGTCTTAATCCGGGGCCAATGACCTTAATCCGGATTAAGTCTTAATCCGGGGTCAATGACCTTAATCCGGGGTCAATTACCTTAATCCGGACTAAGCCTTAATCCGGGGTCAAAGACTTAATCCGGATTAAACCTTAATCCGGGGTCAATGACTTAATCCGGATTAAGTCTTAATCCGGGGTCAATGACCTTAATCCGGATTAAGCCTTAATCCGGGGTCAATGACCTTAATCCGGATTAAGCCTTAATCCGGGGTCAATGACTTAATCCGGATTAAACCTTAATCCGGGGTCAATGACTTAATCCGGATTAAGTCTTAATCCGGGGTCAATGACCTTAATCCGGGTTCAATGACCTTAATCCGGATTAAGCCTTAATCCGGGGTCAA